CATGGGAGGAACCAGCTGCCACCGGTGGCTACGTCTGGCAACGCTGGCATGAATTATAAATGAGTTTTTCCAGATCCAATTCCACAGCCATTGGAAATTCAGCAAAACCAAATTTAAATTCCATTTTTCAAATTTAGATGCAGAATTCTGGATTATACTGCCTTGACATTTTAGGATTCAAAAATAGTTGGATGGTATAATGTCTAGTGAGAAAGACAAGGATCGCCCATGCCTGCTAGCTCATCATGTGGAAAACTGTGACTTCAGGTGTCAAATGCCTGTGCTGGACGCTCCTTCTGTTACGCTCAGTAAATCCATTCAGACCCACATCAGATGCCCTAAGGCAGGGGTCCTCAAACTACGGCCTGCGGGCCACATGCAAATACAAATATTATATTTGTTCCCGTTTTGTTTTTTTACTTCAAAATAAGATATGTGCAGTGTGCACAGGAATTTGTTCATAGTTTTTTTTTAAACTATAGTCCGGCCCTCCGACGGTCTGAGGGACAGTGAACTGGCCCCCCGTTTAAAAAGCTTGAGGACCCCTGCCCTAAGGATTTACCAAGTGACACTCTAATGCTTGACCACATCTCGCGCCAGAGACACAGGGGGAAACACCAGTTGCTCCGGCGGAGGGTCCGGCGGAGGGAAGCTCACCGAAGTGTCAGCTCCAACAACTCTTACTAAGGAGCCTGTGAATATAAAGCACGTCCCACTCAGTCATCCCTCCACGACCACAGCTGGTCAAGGGAACACCTTGCTTGTGGAGGAGCCTGTAAGAAATAGGAGAAATGGGATCGTGAAGAGCTAGCCCTCCCTGAAGGGGCGGGAGAAGTGGCTTCTACAATAGGCCCGGGGCACCCAGGCATCTGACATGGTGAGGCCTGGGGGACGGCCGGAGGGAGCAGGAGCCGCCTCAGAGTCCCGGAAAGAAGGGCCCACGGGCCCCATCAGGAGGGGGGAGGGGGGCAAGTCCGTGAACCGCCAGCTAGAAGACACGCGGGCTGGTGGACTGCGGCTGGGCCACGGTGTGACAGAAAGGGAACATGACCTCAGAGGTCAGGGCCCAACGGAGGAAATCGCATCTGTTGGCCACGGTGACGGACTGAGTCATGTTCCCCCAACAGGTATGCGGGTGTTATTTGGAAATAAGTCCTGAAGATAGAAGCGCTTCGGGTGAGAGGCACAGGGACACAGACACGTGATGGAGGCAGAGACTCAAGTGCGGCAGCTGCCAACCACAGGGAGTCAGGGCTGCGGGGCCACCCCAAGCTGGGACCGCAGAGGCCACCCGAAGCAGAGCCACCCCAAGCTGGGCCTGCGGGGCACCCGAAGCAGAGCCACCCAAGCTGGGCCTGCAGGGCCACCCAAAGCAGAGCCACCCCAAGCTGGGCCTGCAGGGGCACCCAAAGCAGAGCCACCCAAGCTGGGCCTGCGGGGGCACCCGAAGCAGAGCCACCCAAGCTGGGCCTGCAGGGCCACCCGAAGCCAGGAGGAGGCAGGGAAGGGGTCTCCCTCAGTGGCAGAGAGAGCAGGCCCTGCCAGCGCCGTGGGGTTGGGCTTCCAGCCTCCAGGACTGGGAGGAAACCCCTCCTGCTGTGACAGCCACCCGTGGGTCAGGCGTTGTTACGCGGCAGCCCACTCGCTAACATGGGTCTCTGCAGGAGGCAAGGAGAGTCTAGAAAGTGGATGAAACAGACATTTGGAAAGATACACAGATTTGATTGGAAAAATCCTAAACCCTACTGAAGGCACATTGGAATGTCCAGGCAGAACGGCCCAGTATGAACAGGAACAGCCACTAGCTATCGAGCTGTAAGAGCCGTGCCACGTGCCTGATGGAAGCTGTGTACTTGGTCCTGGCCACCACCCGGTGGAGGCGTGGAGTCCACGCAGGTCACACAGTGAGTGAGTGGCAGGGCCACTATCTGAACAAGCACAGGCTCCTCGCTGCTGCCTTCTCAGGCAGACACCGGACTCCGCCTTGGAGAGAAGATCCCGGGAGACAAGGTTGTGCATATAAAGTTCAACATTCACCCCTTCATGTGAGCATGAGGAAGGGGCACTGCACTGCCCGCCCACAGGAAGGGTGAGAGCGAGAGGAGTGTGGTTACCTCGGAAGGAAAAGAGAGAGACTGAGGCACGGGGGGCCTTGGAGATAGGAACCAGGAGAGATGAGCATGGCTTGTCGGGTTTTTTGTTTTTAATGAATTTGTTATCAGAGGGAATCAAGCACAAAATGCCAGCGTGGACTCGGTTCTTTCTGTTCAGCTCCAGCTCCCAGTGGCAGCTGTTGGTTCCCCGACGCGCGGCCTGTGCAGCCACCACGCATTCCATCTTCACTTCCTGTGAGGCTGCCCCTGGCTCCCCGAGCCTCCAGGGCACAGATGGGAGAGCTCTCTCCACGACACAAAGAAGCCTTGGCGTTCTGCTGAGTGTAGACAGTGGGTGACTGCACACCAGCGATTGTCCGGGTCTTCAGACGGTTCCAGGGCACGGAAATGGAACTCCCCCGAGAATCCCGCCTACATCTTACAGAATGACTCCCCTAGCAGCAAGCAGAATGCTGTATTCTACCTGCTTCACTTAGACTAAAGAGGATGCTGAAAACGCCATAAGGGAAAAATTCAATCAAACTGAACATTGAGAAATACGCTTTAAAGCAGACCATCAACCACCTGCTTTTTAAGTTACATCCTATTCAAGTCTTCATTTCCTTTCATTTTTCTGAAGTCTGAACTGATCTTTACAAAAATCCTTAACTTTTTTTATTTAATCTTCTGTTAAGTGTTTTGAAAATAAAAACCTCCTCCAAGAACCAGCTACAACTTCATTTTTTTCCTATTTAGTAACCACCAGTTCAGTAGCAATCAATTTGACTGGCAATAACCATATATATACCAGAAGCCCGTTGCACGAAGATTCACGCAATAGGCCTTCCTTCCCCTGGCTGCTGGCACCGGTTTTCCTCCGGCACCCGGGACCCAGGCCTTTGGTCTGGCCGCAGCAGAGAAGTCAAGCCTCTTCAGTCTTTAGTCTTCAGTCTTCAGTCTTCACTCCAGCCGAAGCCTTCAGTCTTCGCTCTGTGCCTGCGTATGCAAATTAACCGCCATCTTTGTTGGGTTAATTTGCATAGTCATTCTGATTGGCTGGTGGGCATAGAAGAGTGACACCCATTTGCATGTTTCTCTTTTATTAGTGTAGATATATATGCCTAATGTGCAAATTTTCCCCTTGGGAGTTCAACCGGGAGACCAGGAGTTCGAAAGCTCGCTATGCACTGACCACCAGGGGGCAGTGCAGAACGAAGGAAGGCCCCAGCCGTCAGGCGGAAGCCAGGAAAGGAAGGCCCCCGCTGGTAGCCGGCAGCCAGAAGGAAGGCCCTGGTTGGCATCTGGAAGACCCCAATTGGCCCTGATCGCCAGCCAGGCCTAGGGACCCTACCTGTGCATGAATTTTGTGCACCAGGCCTCTAGTTAGAAATAAAAACAAATCGCAGAATAAATGTGATTGCTCATTTTGTTTTATAATAATAAGAGTGATCTAATATAAAAATTTAAACCTGATCCATTTGAATACTTATTTAATGAAAGATAATTGGGTGAATCTGCATTCCAATGATGTTAATGGAATAGCAGAGACTGAGTTATTGAGTGGAATTTTGTTAGCTAAATATCAAGCACAAAGGCTGATGGGATTTATTGTGAGCTCAGCCAAACTTTTCATGATTGAACCCATATTAGCAAATAAGATGACCAGGTGGACCGGATGAAAAAGGAAACTTAAAGTATGTCTTCCCCAATAGAAGTCTCTCTGGAGTTGTAGATTCGACCACAGGGTTAAGGCCTGTGCAGCACCTGAATTGCTAGACAGAAGGTAGAGTAGAGTCATTGTTTCCTGCCTTCTACATGCTCCAGTGACTTCTCTGGGGGCTAGGAATTCTAAAGCACACCCCACACCGTTCTCCGCGTGCACACCAAAGTGCATGTACCCCGGAACCACACAGGCAACATCGTTCTACCTCAACCCATAACATTAGAGCCAGGTTTTCATCCCGCAGGGTCCCAGGCTCGGATTCCTTATACTGTCTGCAGAGCGAGTGCAACTTGCCCAGAGCTCACAGGAATATGGAATGTGCAGCCATAACCCTCTCCCAGCCATAGCTTTATGCTGCTTCATGCCAGCCCATGTGCGATGAACTACAAACTCCACTATTCAGTGTTCTAAAGACTCGGAAACTGAAAGATTGATTCTTAAATAGAAACTTGATTATATTTAAAATTATTTGGGATTAAATAATTTTAAATGATTGTGAAGTTAGCTTCACAATCATTCAGTTTGTCGCTCTTAGCGTTAAAGAATTTAAAATATTAGTAAAGGAAAAGCCAATGGACAATAAAGTGTGCGTGAGTGTATATCATCTAACAGCTGGTACGTGAGGGGTCTTCACAACGGTAGTATCTTGTGATGGAAAGAGACGGGCAAATTCCTCTGAGTTATGACCCCTAACACTAAATTGTTATTTCCTATTGTAATACTATAGTTAATACCTAAGTGTTTTAATATTTAAAAAGTACGTTTCTTCCCTAATATTTAAAACACATTTATAAAATGTCATTTCTTTTCATGTCATTAACAAGGTGGATTTCAAGGAAAGCCATATGGCATTTAGAGCACGCTGAGTGGAACATTCTGCAGAAATTCTTAAGAGGAAAAGGAAATCAGTGCTTTGGCAATTATACTAAAATGTCAAAAAGTCCTAAAACTCAGAGAGAATAAGTTCTATTTCTTAGTAAAACATGCAAATAAAATACAGATGGTCCTCGACCTACGATGGGTTATGTCCCCGTAAATCCATCGTAAGTTGAAAATATCGTAAGTGCTAACGGCATTTAATACCCCTAACCCCCACACACCACCACTCGGTGTAGCTGACCTTAAACATGCCCAGGACACACCATCCAACAAGCACGCAAGACCCCACTGCGTTCCTTACCTACCCTCCTGGGGCTGCCGCTGCCCAGCAGGTGAGAGCGCCATATTGACAGAGCCCAGGAAAAGAGCAACGCGCACCACCTCCGTGCCATGTTAAAGTCGAAAAATCGTAAGTGAAACCATGTAATTCGGGGACTGACTGCAACGTAATTCAAATCTAATTTCCCCTACAGAGGTAGCATCGTAATTAAAAAAAAAATGCATTCCCAACGAAAGGACTAACTTCTGCAGTAACAAACATGACCATAGCAACACAACGGAACGTCTACAGCCCAGGGCACCAGGGAGGGGCTTTGAAAGGCCTTGGGAGAGCGAAGGAACAAACTGGGGTCCCCAAAGACACACCCACAGAAACACTCCGGGAAATGCACAGGCCCTAGCAGAGCGACTGTGATCTCCATCCACCAACAACGTCGAGCCCCTGCTCCACGCCACAGCCCCACTCACTAGGAGAACTAGGCCAAACGGAGGCCAGCACTCTCATCTCAGGTAGCTCTCGTCCCATGAGAAGACACCCAGGTAATCCAGCCGCTGCCACAGAACACAGACCCTGCGGGAAACCGGTACAGTGCTGAGGGGGACACGCATTTTGAAGGCCTTTTGTAGGAGGAACCCATCAGTCTTCTGGGGGGAGAGGTGTGCTAGCTGAGACTCGAGAAGGAAGCAGCCTTTGCCCAGGACTCTGTAACTCTCTGCGGCGGGAAGACCAGGAGGGAAAGGAAACGGAAAGGGAGGCCCGAGACACTGGGCGGGCCCGAGGCTGGAGGAACCCGCAGCTTTTGTTTTAGTTGGACTTGGAACTCCCAGCACCGAACATCACTTGCTGTGAAGCCTTTGCAAACAACTTTTTTGATCCTCAGAATGTTTTAATCCAATAAAAGAGAGTGAAACACCCCCCACCCCACCCCCACACGCACGAGGTTGTTTGGAGAAGCAAACAGATGAGAAAGTGCTCTGAGATATCACCACGGGTTATTTACACACGATCGTCATTAGCACACAGGTTCCCGGCCTCGTCCTGCCTGCGCAGCCCCCTCAGCGCACAGCACAGCCGTGCTGCTCAGGCGCTCTCTCCCTCGGGGACCCCCTGCATGGCGGGGGGGAGCAGTTACGTAGGGCGTCCTGTTGGCAGAAACCCGTGTGCAGAGGGCGATGGGCAGGGAGGAATCCTGTTCCTCCCACAACACCTTCAGGCCAAGCATTAGCACCAGGCTCTGCTGTCGGCCTGCGAAGCATCACAGCACAGAGCGCTGGGCTCTCAGGACAGCCGCCAGGACGCAGGAGGAGGGAAGGGGGTGCTGTGGGCAGGGGAGTCCCTGCCTGAGCACAGGAGCTGGACAGGCCCCTGCGGCCGCCAGCGGCCTGTCAGGATCACACGCCCTGAGCTGCCCCCGCCAGGACACCTGTGCTCAGTTCAATCAGAGTCGGGACGATTCTAAGACTGATTCTATGCCACCTGGACAGGATGCTTTAAGCCGTGGCAGAATCTGACCACGTTCTGTGATATTCCAGTTCTCCCTCCATTCGAAGATTTCACCCCAAATCAGTCCCATAAAAATTATGTTCTGTGACTTTAAATGTTGTGTAGCCCTCCAGTCAAAGGGTCTCTTTTTATTTTATTTTTTAAAGTTTCAGCCTTGATTTTGTTTTGATTGGTGCTTCTGAAGTCTGGCTTTGAATGGGAATCACTCACAGGATTTGTTGATGTATACACTCCTGGGCCTCCTCTGTGATGCTGATTCGCTTTGCAACTGGCAAGGTGTCTTTTAAAGCTCCTCTAGGACCAGGGGGCTGTTTCCTGGGGAATCGTCCCCGAGTCCTCACAGCCAGGTTCCCACGGCCGCCCACTCCTCCGCGCGAAGAACAACACGGAAAGGACTGCTCCGCGGTGAGACGCCAGCCTGGCCGTCCCGGGTCCGGTGACACGGGAACATGTGTCTTGTTCCTTCCTTATAACAACATGGACGAGAGCTACATGGCACGCCCTGCCCTCCACAGGAACACGTGCCACTGAGAACCACCCCAACCTAAACCCTCACTCCGTCGGCATCTTCCTAACACGCCCTTCACTCAGGCATCACTCAGACCCTGTGACCCGCTGCTGCTGGTGATCAGTCTCCCCGGGAGGAGCCGATCAGACCAGCACAGCCACTCGGGGTGGACGGCAGGAGTTGCCACACTGCCCGGGGCCCGCGCCCCTCACCATCCCCGGGGGCTGTGTCACTGCGCAGAATTCACAGACACAAAACATCTCAAGGAACACATTTCATCCCGGGGAGGCCTTAGCAGGAAGAAACACGCCTGCCTCCGGAGGACAGAGGGCCGGCGTCACCCACGCTGGGCGTTGGCAGCGGGGCCTCGGCCGGTCTTTGCTTTTATAAACTGGCAGGAAAATCCCCTACATGTTACCACAGGGGCCCAGCCCATAAGTAACTTGCTAGAGAAATCTGAAACCCATCCTTTGAATATGAAATATATAAAACGATTAAAGAATGACTTTTCGTTCCTTTTATTTTGAGGTGATTCTGAAACATTCCTTAACTATGCAAGAATAGATCAAGAGGAAATAGTGTGAACAAAATAATAGCTTCTATTAAATGTCAGTTTTGTTTTCATCTTTTCAAACCCTCCTCTCTTTTACATGCAAAAACTACTGGGTGATATTAATGTTCATAAATCACCTATTTTTTATTAAATTTTTTTTACTTCAGAGAGAAAAAGGAAGAGTGCGAGAGATAGAAACATCCATGATGAGAGAGGAACATGGATCAGCTAGCTGCCTCCCACACACCCCACACTGGGGATCGAGCCCACAACCCGGCATGTGCCCTGACCGGAAATTGAACCCTGACCTCCTGGTTCATGGGTCAATGTTCAACCACTGAGCCACACTAGCTGGGCCATAAATCACCTATTTGATCTCAAAATGGATAAATCGTTGTCCGTGGCCTCAGTAATTATCTTCAAGTTAGGAGTCAAAGAGTGACTTAACTGCATATTACGTGCATTTATTGAAACTTTCCTTGTACTAAGACTTAGGGGAAACATTTCGATTATAATTTAGCCATCTATAATAATAAAAGCAAAATATGCTCATTAGACCGGACGTCCTTCTGGACGACCTTCTGAACGAAGCCGGGCCTGCGAGGGAAGCCGGGGTCCTGGGTGCCAGAGGGGAGCCGGTGTTGGCAGCCGGGGGAAGGAAGGCCTACTCTTGCCCGAATTTCGTGCATCAGGCCTCTAGTGTATTAAATAAACATATATGCAGATGCGTCAAAGACGGGAGTGAGCTGGCAGGTTATAGTAAAGTTCCCGCCTCCGTGGCATGGATGCTTTAGTTGTTTCAGATTGCTCTCTTTTAGGAACTGTCTAGGGAATGTATCACCATAACTGACTTTGAAGCAAAGAATAAAGTAAGATGTCTGTATTGTGATATTCTAGATACAATGGTCGCCAACCGAAAGGTCGCCTCCAAAAGGCTGGCGACCGCTGTATCTAGAGATCTTTTGGCCACAGGGTTAAAAGACTTTTCCCTTTTTATATTCCTTCACTTCAGTTTGACAAGAATGTGTTTCTGTCTTTTCTGTGCCAGACATTTCCCTGGACACGGGAGACAGGCTGACGGACAACACATTCCTGAACACGTCACTTGGGACTGACGGGCTCTCACTGGTTTTGCATAAGGATGCTCCTTCCTCTGTGACTCACGGACCGATGACAGCGTTTTGCAGAAAGAATCTACCTTGTGCCTCCGATCTCTACTCCGAATCCTGTTCATCACAGAGACACTGAGAGGGGATTCAGTGCCAGTCATGCCTGACTATTCACTTAGAGAAGTAACTGAAAGAAGGTTACATTTTTTAGGACTTCTTTAAACATTCATGTACCCATTCCACAGCTGTTTACCGGGTGCTCACACCTATGAGAGGCTGAGCATAGTCCTCCTGACTCTGCTTTCCTGCCTCTGAGGCTCCTCTCCCCACGGAGGCAGGGTTTCCGGTCGTGCTCATGCTGAATCCTTGACATCTAGCAGGGATTCCTCGTTCATTTCTTTTGATCTTTAGATTCAATTGTTGATAGATATGCACTTATTGCCATTTTACTGTTCATGTTTTTGGTCTTTTATTCCTTCTCCTTCTCCTCCTTCTCCAAGAAGGCCCTTTAACACTTCACCTAACACTGGTTGCAGGACAAAGCCTTAGGGCACTTTATTGCCAAAATAGAGCTGAACCCTAAGAGTGAAAGGTTAGCTGGGGGCTGCCCTTGGGAAGAGGGCAGCCGTGAGCATCTGCTTAGAAAAGTGTAGGTCACAGCAGGTGGGTGTCTGTTGAGCAGCAACAATAACAAGGAGGCCCAAAGGTCACTCAGTAATTAGACATCAGCCTGTCTAGACCTGGGGAAGGAACGGATGATGATTCCCCCTCAATCTGGCTTCAGGCAAACACACTGATGAGAACTTGTTTTGCCCCAAAATGTGAAAATTAGCAACTCTGATGAAAGGTGAATTTAAGAACTGAATTAACAAGAATTAACGCTCAACTGTGATTAAATTAGTTATTCAGTCCCTCCAAGAGAATGTCACCCTACACATGAAACCTTCAGCTACATCCACCTCTTATACTTGGTCAAACAAATTAAAGGAGAAAGGGAGACATTCTATATGTGAATCAATAATTACATATTTCTCATAAGTATATTTGAATATTTTAAACAAAATAATTCTGTGTAATATAATTGGTAAAATATGAATACTAAACGGGTTAATTCAAAAGATAATAGATTCGATTATAAGGTACTTGTTAACTCACCCACTTATGTTCATAATTTGATTGCCTATGTAAAAATGTCTGCTCTTTGAACGATTAAGTCATTGAGATGAATGGACATGTGATTACCATGCTCGTGGCAGGTTCTCTGACCTCAAGAGGCCCACACAGCCACGTTTCACGTCTATTTTTATGATATGTAATCATGGCCTACTTTTTGGAGACATAAGTAGAAGTTTCCTACCACATCAACATTCCAGAATAACAGGATCACTTCGG